TATGATTCTGGTCACTCTGCAACAAAAAGATAGGCTGCATTCAAGGTTGAGCGTTAACACACATTTCATGCGTATGTTCCCGATGAAGTGGGGTCATCATGTGACATTATAGAAAGTAAATTAACAAACAGTTTTAAAAATGTGGTCAATCAACATACCCACTAAAAGACTTGGTCTTCACAAGACTTGCTCCAGTAATGTCACCGCCTGCGCAGGATGACCCTATGGGGACTTGCGGAGTATCTTTAGAGCTGGATTCGTCCCGACTACGTTTCTTTCGAACAAGCTCCTCTCGTCCTTTCTCTGACCTAAAATGCAAAACCCGGAGACAACGATAAAGTAAATTAAACCATCACTAAATTGATAAATCGGATAAATAGCTAGTCAATGCAACGTAAGAAGATCGGCTTAGCAAAGTAAATAGGCTCAAAGGTGGATAAATACTCGCCCACCACAGTTCCCAAAATTCCTGGAGTCACATTTTCGTCTTCTACCATTTTGCCTTTTGGAAGCCTTGTTCTCAGAATCTGCAGCAAACAACATGCCATTGGCATTCTCCACCTTTTTTAGGCGATTTGCCATCAAAAATGATCCGGTAGATGTCTACAAGTGAGTACACAGCAGCGGCGATAGAAATCCACAAAGTCCACCCTAAAAAACGCACTGACAATGGCTTCTCAATAACAATTGTGTTGGATAATGAACAACACGCAAGCAATTCAATCAGCAGTTGTAGTTCCACCGAAAAGTTTATTGTAACAAAAGAATACAAAGTTTGTTTCAAGAGAAAATGCGGACCAAGAATGGGAAGAAGCAAGACCTAAATGAGAAAAAAGTGGAAGCGTTTGAACTCATTCTATAATGCGCAAAAGCGGTTAAGGAATATACCATTGGTAAGAAAATGCCTTAGCTCAGTATTTGATTACATCGTTAAAGAGTGCCAGAGCAAAGAAATAAATGCTACGAATGAGTTGCCAAGATCTACCATTTGTTAGAGCTTGACATGCTTCGAAGGATAGCCGATGCGAGAAACGAGGTGGATGAACGGACTCAGACCGCCCACCAGGAGTGGCCCAGCCAAGCCAGATTCAAGCCTTGGCACTTCAATTACGGTGAGGACAGATGTCATCCGTTGAGGAGGATCCTCCGGACTACACGTTTCAAAAAGCTGGTCACCAGAAAAATCCCAAGCAATGAGGCTGCTAGAGGTTCCGCCAGCAACAATTTTTGGATCAACTTCAGCATTAACAAACTTGCAAACAAGAGGATACCAATGTAATGACTGACCTATAAAAGTGATTACAAAACTGCAGTAAGAAACTGTGAGAGAACATCTTTAGGTGCTTTGTAGAAACACCTACCCTTCGGTTCCAAAACGACAGTGGGCCTCCCAGCTCGTTTGTTCCACAGAGAAAGTTTTGGACCACCTCCAAGGACAAACCAGTCGGGATCGTTAAACTGGACGGAGCCCACAGTCAACCAACTCCCCAAATGGGGGCGCTGAAGTTCAGGAATATCACCGGGAGTAAAAGAAAGAGAAGGCCTCCAGGTATTGTGAGAGACCCGGTGATCCCAAAAGCAGGACGACCCATCTTCCGAACAGCTAAGAAACTAAAGAAGGTGGTAATTTTACACTAAATTACTTCATTTAGACCGGCAACCGAAAGGGAATAGATTGGTCGATCATGACATTTGAAAGCACTCAATAGAGTGAAATTCACGGCGTTGATCAGAATAACATAGCCATCACTACAGCCAGCGCATACAATATTATTAACGTCCAGCGATATAAGAGAGTTGACCTATTTGATAAAAGCAGTGAAGAAAATTACGGATGGCATTTGAAGGGCTGGTTGAATCATATCTAATGGTATTTTCTTCAGTTCTTTTTTCTTGGACCTTATATCTGCCCAAGAGGTGACGAGAACACAACCAGTGGCACCAATCCAAATATGATCATTTTTTGAAAGCAAACAGTGAACGTTGTAACCGCATGGAATGTTACAATACGAGGACGGTGCCATAGAGAGGGAATTAGTTAGTGCGTCCAAAGCAAATGCATATAATGAACCAAAGTTAGTTCCAAAAACAACATAGCCTCCACAAGGTGACACAACTCCACACTGGACGGCAGTATGACCAATTACGCACCTTTCCATTTGACAGCTGAGCTTAACACACTAGGCTTACGTGAGGACGTGCTTTATTCACCAATTGATTGGTTGATGCCTTCAAACATTGTGCTAATCATTTTCAGCATGGCTCGGTTCTAATGGGTAAGTAACATTAAATGTTTTGGATTAAAAAGCAGGTTCTCCTCCTACAATCCAGGTAAATTATTAAAAATTGATAGTTTTATGGTAAAAATTTTTTAAAAAAGAGTAGTTCTGGTTAGTAAAATTAAAATAAACACTAGCTTAAGCTACCGAAATATACCGCTAAAGTGACTACCTGACCTTCAGCGGTCACTTTAAGATTTTTCCGGCTCTTGTACTAAGGGCTAGCCTTCGGACCATGCTCAGGTCCATTTGCTCTGTTCCATTAGGAAAACAAGTATTCAGACGCACTCACTGCCTTCTCCCACCTTGTAAAAAGACTCGGGACGCTACAGTTAAAATAACAGTGCACAAAGATATCACTGTTTTTAACCCCCTCTCAGGTCCTTTTATCCTGATCTGTTTAAACGAGGCTGCTTTAGCTCTTTTATCTGACAATTATCTTTGTAAGCACCTAATGTCTGACGGCCACCTTGATAACCGAATTACGGTTGTGCGTGCAAGCTGCCTTCAAACATGTAATACTTTGTTTATATGAGGGCGTGACGTTCGACGGTCTTGGTGGACAAATCCAAGGTTAATAAGTACATTCTGGCATTGTACACTGGCAATTATGACCTATAGATACATAGATAGATGTCTGACTCTATCGAAATGCAGTGGATGAAGATAGAGGCGAAAGAGGAACATGAGTTGAAGGAGGCGCATTTACCTTGGTGACGGAGAATCTCTTATTCCTCTACACCGAAAGGATTCAGACTGGTGTCCACAGTTGGTTTCACCTCATTCCCGTGTTCCACAGACGAGCTATTAACAAG